TGAAAGCAAAGTGTGAATTTTTTTTGCTTAATCGATAGGTATTTTCACATAGATTCACGTGGTATAGGTGAATATAGGCGACATTTTCTAGTTTGGCCGCACTAGAGTGTCAAATTTGGGTGTTTTTTCATATGCAGGTTTCGCTAACATACTGAATTTCAAATACCGTTAAAAATAGTTTCCATAAGCAGAATTTGAATTTTTTTAGTTTGTTTGAAAGGTAGTTTTATATGGATTCATGAAATGTCCACAAAAATATTTTCTTTTTGTTAATATGGACGGATTAGGCTTTCAAACCAACTATATCTCAATTGTAAGTACTTAACATGAGCTCTGTTAAGTCGTTAACAGCGGTATGTTAACTGAAATGGTAGATGTCTTTACTAGTTAAATTCGAATTTATCTTCACACCCTTACTTTAGGTGATCCTCTTTTTAAATAGATTGCATAAGCATCATGCATGCAGGCATTTTTTGAAGATTTAACGCCTAGGTAACAGCTTTAAAAAATTTGTTTTTTTTTGACAATTTTTTGGGGATACAAAGAAAGGTTCTGGATAAACTATATTTGAGAAAGTTATTAAGCGTAGATTTAGGTTTTTGCAAAATGAGGACGCAATAGCCATTCTTGAGCTCAAGAAGCTCCGCAACAAGCTGCAACGAATTTGATTGAAAAAAAAAAAAACTTTTAATCCTAATTCGACTATGTCCTTTTATAGTGAGTCATATCATGGCATTAATTTGTTTGCGTTGCAAAAATGCCGTCTGGCGATCAAATATGCTTTTTCATTATCTTTCTTCGATTACTTGCTCTAAAGTGCCATCCAGTAGATCGCAGTTAATCCCTATCCCTTTCTCTCCTTCTCCACTTCTTTCTGATCATTATCTTTTTACACGTATAGGGGACTATCTCCACCAAAACTGGTGAATCTTATCTAGTTGGCAATGGTAGGCCCGCGTAATTTACATTGGAAAGTCTCATTATCTTTGGTTACAGTATTATGTACAGTCTGCTTTTCCTTTGCTACAACAACGATCTTTACATAGTTGTAAGATTTCTATAATTTTTTGCAGATTTCGCTTACATCCGCACTGATAATTTTTAAATCAATTTAAGATCTTTTTGTGTCTTTATACCGTATTAAATATTCGGAAAAAAACAAACTAAAACAAACTACGATGAGCCATGACCTTCCTTTAAATATCCTACAGCACCCTATAGGTATTCATGGCCCAACCTTTCAAATCGAGGTATTATATGGGAAGTGATCAAAGAAGTGATTCGACTTGAACCATTTTCAACAGAGTTGGTCCTTGAGCTAGAAATCGTTAGTGTACAGTATCTCATCAAAACGTCTCAAAGATTGCGACCTGTAGAAAAGAATAGAAGGGCAGATGGACAGTCGGACAGACGACCTTGACATGATTCAGAAAGTGATCCTAAATAGGTGGGTCTTTCTCAAATCCTTTTCGATATCGCATACACCCGCCCAAACTTAACACACCCCAAGTGTTGTAGTGTATAATAATAACTACTAAGGTAAGTTTATATAATGAAATCTATTTGTCAATTTTTCCTTTCAACAATTTACTTCATTTTTGCCCAAATTTAAAAGTGCAAAAAAAATTTTCTGATTACTCGTACATGTGATATAAGTTTTTGTTTTAAAAATTAATATTTCATTTAAAAGAAAAAACTAACATAGTATTAAAAAACAATTTTTGCCCTATTTTTTTTTTTTTTTTTATGAAAAAAATGAATAATTGTCAACTCCTAGTGCATTCCAAAACCAGTTCACGCAGTTCTTTGCAACAACCAATTGTTTAAACAAAACGCACGCTTTGGCACTACTTTAAAAGTAATATACACATAGATATTATGAGTTTTTTGCCTCTTTGAAATTAATATGTAGTGTAAAAACATAAATCATTCAACCCTCACTAGAGATATTTGTATACATTAATATTAAAAAGAAAAAAAAAAGAAAAACACTCAAAAACCAAATTTCATCCATTGCTTTTCATAGATGAGTTTCCAGATAAGTTTTGAACAGTTCAAGAAAATTAGCAAACTTGAAATGAAAAATAAAAAAAAAAATTGTATACCTCATTGCATTAGCTGAATTTTATGTTTTGGACATTTAAAAATAACAAAGAAAAAAAAAAGAAAAGAAAGAATAAATAAATAAAAATTTAGTATATAACAAAAGCTAACACGTGTCAAAACCTTAACATCATTATGGTTTGTGCGATAATTTTGAATGAGAACCGACGCTAATCCTTCGCAACAAGTCAGTAAGTAAACGATATACATACATATATCCTTGCAATGTCTTTTGTATACACAAAACTCACCAAGCTTTATGTATAATATTATGAAAAAACACCTGGGCGCACACACCCTTAATAAGAAATAAATTTCTTAAAAACCATAAAGCTTTCGTTCAGATTTTTGCTTTTCATTTGCCTTTTTTTTTCTTCTTTTTTTTTTTTTTTTTTTTTTTGATTTGCATACAATGATGCTTTTAATTGTATGTAAATATTAAATGAAGAAAATTATCGTAGTCAAGATAATCATAAGCAGCGAATGAATGAATGCTAGATGGATGATTAAATGAATGTCTGCTTAACATTAGAAAAGGTCTACATACACTTTACATACACGAAATTGAATATTTTAAAAAGAAAGAAAAGAAAAGTAAGAAATTCTGTTTTCATATTATCTTTAAATTTAGATCATTTCGCTGCAGGAGGAGGAGGACACTATTAAGGAGGACTAAATTGATTTAAAAGCTATTAAGAAAATTTATATATTCGCCTTGTAGCGAGTGTGACGAACCTACCACCTCAAGCAAATATAGAACGTAATGTAATAAAATCATGTATTTGATAATTATAGGCGTATTAGTTAAGCGATCCGCACCTAAGGCAACAACAAATTCGTCCTCATGTCTGATATAGAATACAGGCTAATAGTCAATTGAAATAATGTTGCCCGTCAGAATAACAAAATGTGTTGAGATTAAGCTTTTAGTCGCAATATTTCAGAAAGATGATAAAATTGAGGCAGAATTTTAGGCTGTTCAAAAATACTCGTGCAGCGTGCAGCGCGAACTTTTTGATTATTGAAAACATCACACGGAAGATATTTAAACATCCATCTCGGTCAGTGTACTGTGCTGTATCGCCATGTAACGATATTCGACGCCTCCAGACGTTGTTGAGAAGTTGTCGGCTGTTTAGAGTTTTCCCTATGGGAGAACTTCTATATTGCCCTTCTTTGTAATTATATATTCAAATATTCTCCTTTCTCAGAGTCTACACGCTAGGGTTTTTATTGCGATACCAAATCGATCGTAACGTTCGCTGCTCTAAGATGAAATCAAAATGTGATTACTCCGTAGAGAACGATCGCCCAAGGAACGACACCGTTTATTGAATATTCTCCGTCTTTCTTCTTTTCTATTATTTACCTATTGGTTATTGACAATTTTGCTTAGCCCCGCAGATATTACAACTGCTCAGGTGAGACTATTTCAATTGTTCTATTCGTTGCGTACGGCTGTTGTTTGACACATTAATGTGTGCTGTTAATTTTTTCTTTACTTAACAACTCCAAATTTTTTATTTTCTTGACAAAACGTATAATTGAATGTGTGCTACACGTTAGGCAGGCATTGCTATTATAACCCCAGTTTCTTTAAAATATGCCATAGTGGTTTTCAGAGCGACCATAGTGGAGACCTATCAACATAAACAAAGAGAAATAAATTTTACAATAATTTCACAAGATTACTTTCAAAGCCTCTTACTCCTAAATTTTTTTCTCTGGTAGTCCAACGCTTTCGTAACATCTTCTACACCCAAGTAAGAACCATCATGACCATCTCGAATACGTTTAATCCAAACTCCGCATTAAAGGTATTCAGAACAAAAAAGAAAAAAATAGGCCACGCCTACCCAATGATATAATTTTTGTCAAAACCTCTATACCACTCATAAGCAAGCTTGAAAAACCACCATTATGTATATGTTTCCTTAACCATTGCCAAATTTGGAATACATCTAAGCAAGTCCGTCTGTTCGCCTGTCCATGTGTCCGTCTGCCCTGTACTTCTGTCCGCACAAATGAGGATAACGCCTACAGATTTTCAAAAGAAGTTAAAGCCAATCAAGGGACACTTTCAATCAATGTAAGTAATTTGAGAGATTCTCCTCCAAACATTTATCCCGTAATAAATGGAATTTAATTTGTCTATAAGTTTTACTTTATCCATAGAATCCTAAATGGTTTTTTCAAATTTTTTCTTGAAATTTACCGTAAGCACATTGCGTATCTTTTATGGTGTCTTAACGGCTTCTGTGGAATAACCTATTACCACAAATTCAAATCTTGTAACTCTTTCTCCCGTGTCAAGGTCCCTTAGTTCTCTTGCAAGAAATTAAACTGATACAACTTTGAAAAAACACTGAGAATTTTTTTGCAATTTTCGTCTTTTGATCTCGTGAATATGTAAGCAGAGCATAACCATTTTTTAGCCGTTAGTTTTTAATCGATAAAGGAACGTTTGTAGCAGATTTCAACCGCTTATCCGCATTTTTGCGATTGTAGCTATTTAACAAAAAAAAAGAAGAGAATCACGATGATCCCCTTTGTTAGACAAAGTATACGCGAAACCCCGGCGATAATATTTGATGACCGATGTGGATAGAATACATTTACTGATGCGCTATGCTGATGAGTTGCACATTTCTCTCAACTTAGACCTAAAACTGATATTTACCGATACGTCAACCAAAAAAAAAGGATAAATTTTGTGGGTTAAATTCTGCCACTTTATGGTGCCCATGATGTACATTTCCGAATTCTGTATTACGCCTAAATCTTTTCCTTTTTTGTGGGTTGGGTGGTGGGTTTCAAAATAGCACAATTTAAATATAACTAGAAAAATGAACATTTAAAAAGATTGTAAAGTTTTAAAACTCTTTTCACAAACTTTGATATGCTTTTTTTTTCAAATAACGATTTCCCTGTAGTATTAAAATGTATGCGTAGTTGTAGTTGTTTTTTATATGTACGATCACTTTTTACTACTAATGATTCACTAGCAAACATACAAGGGGTTAAAAGCTAATCTATGCTTAAACTAAATGAACAAAAAATGAAAATAAAATTTAATAAAATAACAAAAACAGTAAATATGAATAAAAGAAACAAACGGAAAACGCAACAAATCAAATGAACAAAATAGAAACAAAAATTTTTAAATTATTTGTGATTATAACGAAATTTCAACAAAAGTTTCATTAATTTTAACGAAAGAATTGTAGATGGACATATACCTTAATCAGATTCAATTTTGATTACATATATCAATTATTTTACAACACAAACGATTGCTGATCATAACTACTTAAAACAAACTAAATACTTGCAGATGGTTTATGCGTCAATTTTGTCCGATGATTGTCCGATGAAAATTGAAAAAACATCATAAATGCGAGATTTTCTAAAGTTATTCCTTTCATGCTATATATAATAGATAAGGAAAACGGATGGTGCTTACATCAGAAAGCAGAAGGCCTTACGATAGACCCAATTTTCGCTATACCGGTCGAAGCTTGCCTGTGCGTCTGCCCGTCTATTCGATGTCCTTATATCTTTATATTCAACCTAAAAGGGCAATTTTAGATATATTTTCATGAAATTTGGTGCATCACCCTGTTTTGATTCAAGGACAAACTCCATCGATTCGAATCGGATCACTTTTCTGACTACTTTCTATGTAAAACCTTATATTGAAATGCCATTATATTAATAATTTTATTAAGCGTAGTGGTGTAGACTTACGCGTTTTTAAGATGCTTTGACTGCGTTTCGCAATATTTTGAGAAAACAGATTTTTTTCAAAAAAAAAAAGCTAAGAATAAATTAGAAGTTTACAGCGGAAATGCATTTTTTCATTTAACGGCAACGGCACTAATAGAAATAACCCGTAACTAGGTTCTATTTAAAACTAGAAATTTTCAAAAATAATTTTAATAACATTTCGTAGCCGCGACAAAATGTTTAATTAAACTATTTCACATTAATGAAAGAATAACTCATTTACGATTTTATATTCTTTAGACGCATCTAACTTTTCGTTCTTGTAAATTGTACCTTCTTTTTATGCAGCTTTTCAAATTCTTGGTGGCGGCAATTTTGCAAAAGTCATCTTCTCCTAAATTCATTACTACAAAATATTTAACAAATTGATTTCAGCTGATAACAAAACGCTTTGATCAATTTATTTCTTAAAATCTTCACTAAATTTCGGTATTCACTTTTACTGACTTGCATCGTTCCTTACTATTTCATCAATCAGTTCTCCGTCTATTGTATTATTATTCTTCTTGAGGAAAAGGACATGTGATGTTCTATTCTAAATAAAGATCTTTCAGTTTTTTTAAACTCCACAAAACAAATATTTAAAAGTCCACAAATGGCACTGACAGCTGATCAGTAAAAAAAAAATTGTAAGGAGCAAATTTTTTTTAATCTTTGCAATCTAACGATTATTACTTTTGCTTCTTTTATTGTGAAATCATATTATAATTTTATCACTCATATTGCATTAACCACTAATTTGCAACCATTGTTTACGATGTAAACTTAACTTAAACTAATTTATTTATGCATTGCTAAGTAGATCTCTCAACAGTGATGTCTTATATCGTAACTTTCTCAAAAATATGGCGACTTTGTTTTTTTCTTTTTTTATTAACGATTTAATAATGATTTATTGTTGGCTATTCGCAGTAATAGCGGTGCATACTTAAGCGATTTACGAAAAACATATAGTTTTACATGAATAAAACACGTAACCCTCACAATTATATACGTTACAAGCATACAAAAGAGTTATTCTAAGTGAATAAATCGCTTTTCAAACGAAACATGTCGCTAATTTACCTAAAAATTTGCTACACTATGAAACACTTTTTTAAGCCTTTCGTTATTCGCGTTCGCCAACGTTTTTCAGGGAAATTAATGAAAATTTTTTTTTAGCAATAAACGCCCGCGCTTCTAGTAGAAAAGAAACAAAATAACTGAAAATTAGCTATCACTTTCGCATTCAACGTTATCATCCCTCTTAAAGGTTTTTAATTCTTTCAGTTATGTATAATTTTTTTTAAATATATATCAAATAATATTTGAATAATTTAGAAGATTAATTAGTTTAATTCTCTTGAATTACTCTAGTTCTTTGATTTGTTTGCGAAAAATCACGACGTATTGTATATAAATAAAATTATTTGTGGCACACAAACGAAAGGCATATATCGCTTCAAACCGAAAGAGACAACACACAAAATTTGTTAAGACCTATAAAAAACTATTGAAAAAATAATATTCTATACAATTTATAAATCAACAAAAATTCCATTATATATCTTCTTAGTTTATAATCTTCTACAAATTTTTGAACATTTTATAGGTAACAACATATAAATTATTTTTTGTTTTTTTCTAGAAATTTGTTATAAAAAAACACAAAAAGAGAATGAATAGCATTCATACGCCTCTGTCTCTCTCACTCTGTATTAATTCTTCCTACCTCTCTCACAATAACAGTTTACAATGTTTTTAGTGTTAAAAAATCAATGCTACATACATATTTTGCGGGAAAAACTATTTTTTATATAAATAAATAAGAAAAAAAGGAAAAAAAAACAAATCGTGTATATAATAATAAGAAATTACAGAACAAGAATAAAAACGGGTTCTAACATAACAAATTTATCACTTTTGTGTTTATTCAACTTCAATTGACAATCAGTCATAGAAACGGCACAAAACAAACGTCTTGGGGCGAATATTTGGTACCCACTATCGTAATCCAATCTATAGATCGTTAATTGTGGGCGTGTCGACAGAAGATTACTCTCGTAAATACTTATCACAGGTTTTAGATCAATATCTATTAAAAACCATAAATTTTTACATTTCTTTTCTTTCAACATATGCGCCTTGGTTTAAATTAAATATTTTTTAATCTTTTTGGTGGTTATTTATATTTTATAAATATTTGACAATATCAGACGTTCTCGGAGATGCGTTCCGATTATTTGCAAACTTAATATCTAATCGTCAATTGGTTATATATAATAAAAATTTCTAAATCCAATCTCGGTTTCCACGAGTAATCTAAAGATAAGAGGCAGACAAATAGACGGTTGTACTGATTCGATTATGAACACCGATCAAGGAACGGTGGTGCTAAATCGATTACGAATTCTATTCCGACTAACAACCTTTTTGCCTTACGAGGTCCACACGCAGCATATTTTTTCAAGTAAAGTCCATCGCCGATAGTGGGTATAATAAAAGAAATAAAAAATAAGTGTACACTTCCGTTAATGCATTGCTACACAATATATTAATAAGATTAATAAATTCAAACGACCACAACAAAAGAAATAAATAAATAAAATGTAAACTAATATCTTAAAAATGTAATATATATGTGTACCTTAACGCTACCCTTCGCATATGGGCAAAAATACTTATGAAAGAACAATTTTATTAGACATAGTTTTAATAAATAAGAAAAATACATTCGCTTTTAGGGCGAATCTTTAAATACTCACCGCCTAAGGTTAAAATATATAAAATCGGTTACTTTTTTATAGGTATATGTAGGTAGCCATGGGCTGACATGAATTATTTAAAATAAATTGAGAATTTTTAGAAGAACTTTTAAATGAATCCAGTAAATATTAACTAACAACAAAAGCGCATCCTACCACTTATTACTTATTTCTAATTGTTTTACTATTTTGCTGTTGCGGGCTAATTTAGTACAGTTGGCTTACACTTATTTAAGATCAAAATTGGTTTATGAAGCCCGATGAAGATTTCTTAGAACAAAAATCAATTGTTCAGATTATTTTACTTATTGCGACATTGAAAAATGCTATAATAACCAGAAGGACGGTCGCCTCACGCATACATATTTTACGCAAATTTTTAATCAATGTCTTAGATAATAGAAACGATAAAGAAATTATTAATTTATAGTCACCAGCCGGTAGTGGGTATAAAAAAAGAAAAATTCCTGGGTTCGTTTATATAAGGTTGCTAAACAATAACAAAAAAAAAAAAAAAAAAAAAAAAAAAAAACAATAAAGAAAAAATAATATAAACTTATATTTTTCCCACCACTTACACTTAACGTTTTTTCCACTTAAGAGACCTAAAGTAGGAAAGAAAATCTTGTCACCTTAGCTGTAATTAACTATTTTAAAAAATAAAAAAGAGCCCACTTTAAAGCATAAAATAAGATATATTACTGTCTCATTATGAATAAGCTGGAAAAATATATAATAGAAATATATGAAAAGAAATTAGATGAAATGAGAAGAAAAGGAGAAATATATTAACAGAGTAAATAAATGAAAAAGTTTTAAATGTACAAATCTACATGCATTTTTAATTTATCTTAGATGGCCAGAAAAACCACTGAACAGAAACGATGGTAGAAAAATTTTGACAATAATAATTTTAAAATAAAAATATCCTAATGCTGCCAAGCAAATCGTCTCAGAGCAAAAAAATTTGTTACAATAACGACGCCAGCAACCTCCAATGTTGTCAAGTAAATGCTCTCAGAACACGCCAAATTTTATAATGAGTAGCCAACTTTTCCTCCAGCAGAATGCCTGGGACAAAATCAACGGAATAGTTAACATCTACATCACCGATTACTTCTACAGTGTGGGCTGGTCCTGCTCGTGTATAACACAGTTTGACTACTTCGTTGTTGACATTTATACTATAATCAAGTTCTTGCATTACCTTGGTAAAGCAGCTAAAGAAGTATTAGAAGATTAGTTTTACTCTCGGAAATAAAATTATCTCAGTCAAAGCCAAAAAAAATTATCGTAGCTTTTAAGGAAATAACATATTTTTTAACAGACTCTGGAGTTAACTCAAAATTGCATTTTTAACATTCATTACTTTTGTTGTTTGATTTGAAGAAATCTGCTGCCGAAATCCATTAAATTTGTTTTGCCGACGGCTTTTGTTAAGTTGGTCCGTTAGATAATGTTAAGTTTTTGTTTTGCCGACGGCTTTTGTTAAGTTGGTCCGTTAAATAATGTTATTTTACAGAGTTGGTCCGTTAGATAATGTTATTTTACAGAGTTGGACCTTTCTGATCTGTTAAGTTGCGCGTTTAACATAGCTGATTGGCATTAACATTTGAGTTGTTAGTTGGGTATTCAACCATTTTGGCAATTTTTTATTCATTATAAGCAACTCTGTGCTTTGCCTTTTAACAGCGAATTTAGCGAGGGCTTTGTTTAATTTGATAATAAAAATTATGGCGGTCTACTTTTAGGCTAACTTGTAAAATTAACATTAAACCTACCATGCGCGGCCAAATGATCGTATTTAAAATTTTGCATAAAATTTCTCGCATACAACGTTACGGACGTTTAACAGTTCACACTTTTTGTCGCTTTTTAAAAAATGCAAATTTTATTTTTATCTAAGTTAGCGCTCGCACTTTATTGATAACTTTTGGTTTTTCTATATTTATTATTATAAGGTAATCATAATGTACAAAAATCAGTAAAATTAAATTTAAAATTGGCACCTCCATTTAACTTTATATTAATTTACAGCTGGCAACACCCTTTGTATAGGTGACTAGAAAGAAGTTGTAAACTCTATAAAAAGGAGAACTAAAAGAAAAATAAGACTGAAATTTTAATTAGCCTTGTCCGGTCTAACTCCATATCCAAGAAGATTGAAATTAATAGGTTTTAAATAAATATGATGACCAACACGCCTCATCCTCCTTTAAGTCCACAGAGCGATTTTTTCTGTAGCTGGAAAACAAAAGAAGAAACACGAACACTACTGAATTATAAAGTGCAACAAATATTTGGGAAATCATTTGAGTATCAAAACAAAATTTCCTGGATTTTGCCTACTGCTAACGAATTATTTAATGAATTCTATCAATTCGAAAGTCTGCAAGATTTGAAACTACACCTTAATGAAGTCAAAAGTAGGCTGAACGATTATGAGATTGAAAATTGGTCGTTACATACGAATCGTAAAGATCCATCCGGTGAAATTGCATGGCGTTTAAAAAATGAGACTAAGGCAGAATTCGTTACAGTTGCTTGGTGCAAATTTTATGAGTGCTTGGGTAGATTCCCCCAGCTAATAAAAGGGCCCCAGATGAATTCGTTGCACTTATGTGAAGCCCCCGGCGCCTTTATAGCTGCTTTAAATCATTTCTTGTGTTCCCGATATGAAAAAAAAGAAGTAAATAAACAAGGCAAGTAACTATAGTAGTTTGGCTGTTCTAATCTTCCAAATATCTTAGATTCAGTGGCATTGGTTGGCTTCTACCTTAAATCCCTATTATGAGGGCAATCCTTGGTTTAACATGATCACTGATGATCGCTTCATGTTATTTACTTTGGATAATTGGCTATTTCATAAAGATTTCACGGGCAATATCATAAGTAAAGACAACTTAAAAGATATGGCAGAACAATGCTCGAGACGCTTACCGCAGGGAGAAGTGCACTTAATTACAGCCGATGGATCGGTAGATTGTGTAGAATCACCGGACTGTCAAGAGGAGCACGTGTCCTTGTTACATTTAGCGGAAATAACAGCAGCCTTAACTGCACTGGCTAATCACGGCTGTCTAGTAATGAAAATGTTTACCATGTTTGAATCTAGCAGCGTTTGTATGTTGTATTTGCTCAATTCCGTATTCGAGAAGGTGCATGTGACTAAACCGGCCACTTCCAAGCGTGGTAACTCTGAGGTTTATATAGTTTGCTTAAATTATAATAAAGAAACTGCAAACTTGAAGGAAATCTTAAGCGTAATGAGCGAACATCTGAACAAAGAGCAACCCATAGCTGCGTCTTTATTCAAGAAATCCCACTTACCGAAAGATTTTTTAATGCAACATGAAATATGCTGTCGTCTGTTTATGAATCATCAAATCACGGCCGTTGAAAATAATATTTTTACTTATGAACTAAAAGCGAATCGCAGCGAAGTGAAATCAAGTCAGTTGCTGCGTTCTCTTGTATGCCAAGAATATTATCGCAGATATAATGTTATACAAATACCCGAAGAATCGAAAATACTTTATAAATTTACAAATGCTATTGAAAAGGGTTTCAAGTTGCAAATCTATCGCGGCTCTTATACGGCGCGCAATATGCTAAAGACAGGCAGCAAAGAAGAGCAAATCTTTAAATTAAAGACATATTTGAACGACATTGAAAAATATATAAAAAGCGATATATTAAGCGCAGATGTCTCAAGTGCACAGTTCGCGGAGAGTCACAAATGCAGGCTAGTCGTCTATAAAGGAAAATCCATAGACAAACTTTGCAGCAGTTTATTTGTTAATGTACAGTTAATAGTGATGCGCACTAAATTGAAAACAATTCATCAAATAGAGCCGCTATGGTTAGGGCAACCGAAAGCTAAACTAGGCGAAGATTTGGAGGTTAATTATTCCAAAAATGAAAACGGAGACTTTGCCGATAAGCAGGTTTCATTCTTCTACGATATATTACACAATTTGTTATTGAAAAAAATTGATAACTTGGAATTTACAGAGCTCCCATTTGTTACGCATTTCGCGGTTTCTATTCTAAGATACTTAGCAGTTAATGTTTTCGAAACTTTAACCATAAGTTGGCATCCTAAATTTGTTATCACTCTTAAAGAACCAAAAGGTCAATATTGTCACGCTTTGAAATTGCTGATCGAGGCCATGAAATCTCCCACAAATGCAAAAGATATTCTATGCTTAATTGATATAAAGGAATTGCATCGTAATGAATTTAATCGTAGTTTAACATATTTTAATAATGAATTATTGTTACATAAGTATAAACTTCTCTTAGATGAAAGTTAAAAATAATGAATGTTAAAATAATCAAAGTCTTGAATATTTATTAGATCATGAACTTTTAAAAGAATGTTCTCGTGACAGAAATTTCCTCATTACACCCCTTCAAACCACACACAGTGTGTTATCGTAAGAGTGACTGTTAACTCTAAATAAGATCAGAAAATATGTAAAAAGGAAAAAAACAACTAAGAAGCCGAAAAATAAATGAAAAGCTGGATTAGAAAAAGTCCATGATGAAGTTTATATGGGTTGACGTAACAGAATTTTGTTCCATCTCGAAAGCAAAAGATATGGAAACAAAACCTATTTGCTTTAGGCTAACCCTCACTCACTCTTTTTTTGCACGGCTCTAGCACGGAAAAAACATTTTTTTTTTTGTTTCTAATTTTGACTTTATTAGTAACTTGGTTTACTGCGGAGAATACCGGAATTTTATGATCACTTTTTTCTGCATCTCAAACACAGGATAGTAGATTTCAATAAAATTCTGCAAATTGTTCGTTTGCACGCTTGTGCACGAAATTTGAATTGTTGTGTTGCACTTATGAACTGAATTTTTATTCTACGCTATTTACAATTTTTTTTTTAAAGAAAAATGGATTGTTTTTATTTTATAAATACGCAGCATAGATTTCATTAGTACTTTTTTTGCACGGTTCTTCGGAAAGAATCTGGAACTTTATCACTTTACATGATTTTTCGAAGGTATTGAACATATCTCTATATTTATGTATCGCACGATTTTTCTTGCACCGTTTTTTAAAAAACGTGTCTATCGTGCAAAAAAGACTTGGGTATACATAAAAATGTGATTTGTACAAGGGGTTCTTTCGTAATCGCGCTTTGCATTCTTAGAGATTTGACTGCTTTTTTAGCTAATAAATAACTAGAAAAATTATGATTTAATTCCCATTACGAGAAATTTACAGACCACAAAATATTAAATCATTGCAGTTTTTTTTTTTTTTTTTATATTGAATGGAAAGGTATTTCCATGTCATGAAGTTACAACTGGATTAATTTTCGAGAAGTTTGATGCCTCAATGAGTGAATTTGTTTTAAAATTTGCAATTAATTTATTCAATAATGTTCAATTAAAATAAAACAACACACTTTAAACTTTAATACAAAGTCCAACAAATTATTTTAAAGGAAACCTAATTACATTGATCGTTTCTTTTCTACCTGTGCATATAATCGTGTGAGCACCTCCGCGATCTCTAAACATTCTAACCTCACAATTATTCTTCATATTAGTAATATCTTTTTCTTATCTTTTTTTTTTTTAAAGAAGAATATAAAGAAATTTACATTTTATTAATTAATCAAGATTTGCTTTGCTTTAGTTATTAAATTCCAATGATAAAATTTTTTCCATTAAATAAATAATATAAAAAAGAAAAGCACAAATCGTTGGAAAAGAAAATTGAAAAAGAACATATATATGCACATTATATATGTTATAAGTAATAAAACCCTTCCTTCCGAGAACCACGCACGGACTTTAGAGAATTGGATAGACATTAGAGCTCGACTTATATATAATTATATCAGTTAGATGTAGTGGTTCTTTTAGCCTATACATCGGTTGTATTACGTTACTGTATAAAAGACAAGAAAATGAAAATGATTATTAATTTAACTAACATAATCGGCCGACAACGTACTTAGGACTTTTGTTTTGATTTATAAAACATAATAAAACTAATCGGCTGGTCTTTTTTCACTGTTTTTCCTTGTATATTCTTCCGCGTTTTTTATAAATTTTTTGCGATCCTTTAAAAATTCTTCTGCTAAGTCCGCCCTTAGCGGATGCTCTGGCTCCGGATCGTTTATTAAAGCTATTAGAGCCTGTATCACTTGATCCGTTCGAGTGGCAGGCTTCCAGTTTTCAGTGCTTATAATTGGTAAACACACTTGACCTTTCTCGTCGATGTTTGGATGATATATTTTTGTTTTGAAATTAATCTTTGGTGGCTTAAAAGGGTACTCGGCTGGAAAATTGATTTCGATCCGAAATGCTCCCTTATTATACGGGGGATTTTGTGGAACAATTAGGCCAGTCCAACGCAAAAGATTATCATCATCAGTAGCAATTTCACGAAAGGATTTCAATTCAGAAACTGACATAGCTTGTAAATCAGTTAACTCTTTACGTAAACGACGAGGAGCTGTCATAACGTCGTCAAGTGATACGAAACAAAAGTAAATAAATAATACTTTTTGTTCACGTTATAATGTGAATTTGGTTTCTTTTTTGTTGGAAAGAAAAGAAAAACTAAAAATATTCCAGAATTTTGCTGATTTGCACACACACCGAACCAACTTTTTCTTTTTTTATACTAGCTGCTTCTTACCTATCTCACATGTAAAGAGTTATCGCATTTTCTAAATGCACAGCAGTAATAAATACAGATATGTTTCGCAAACATATGTAATAATTTAAATATTAAGCGATCTATTTTTCTGTACTTTCGGCAGGAGTCTAACTATTTATTGTCATTCTGAAGAAAAGTCGCTTGCTTTAATTATTAATTGACTAGTTAATATTAAACCCAAATAATTTGATTTCATTCATAATAAAGTTTGGTGTCTCAATATACGTAAAATTCATGCATGTATCAAGTGTGCGTACCTTGTGGGTATTTTGAACGCCAATCGAGGCACATTTTGGACATAAAGTGACCAAATACTAGACGACATCTTTTCATTAGATCGTTAATTTTGCTATGGGCCAAGTTACTTCGTTTAGATGGCTTCTATTACGATATTGAATTAATAAATATATAAAATTGAATAAACATTCCTATATCAACTTGTTAATATCTAAATTTTGTATGTTTGCCTAAATTAAAAATATATATCTTTTAATTTTTTTCGCAATTGTAAGATTTGGAATTAAAATAAAAATTTAAATGAACAATTTTTGTAACTTTAAATCGTGTAATATAAAAAAGATTTAAAGTAGTTCTCCTTCACCGTTTTAGCTTTTTAATTTGTTTTTTTTTTTTTTGTATATATGCAAAATCATATAATTTAACAGCAAATTTTTATTTCATTACCACTTTATACCATAACGGAGCCATGTATTGTTAAATTACAGCAGCTAAATAGTAAGCTTATGGAAACTCTAATCGAAAATTTATTCAAGTAAACTATCTTTAAACTTTCATATGCATGCAAAAGTTATACAAGTCCATTTTATTGGTCGTTTTGTATTTATAATTACAAAGCGTAAAATTTTATTTCTGAAAGTTGTAACGTGGTTTTGACTTAACGAATTGTGTTTGCCAAAAATTAATCTTTAGTTTGTTAAGTTCGCGCACAAAGAGATGACGAATTTTTGCTTTTTCTGAATATTTGCCTTTGCGTGTTTTTCGAAAGCGATGGTGGTGGAGAGCGGTAGGTGATGAAGTTGTTTGTTTAATTTGGTTTTGTGACGGTGAAAAGTAAAATTGTATGAGTTAAAATATGCAAAAGTTTATTTGAATTTATTCTTAGAATATATGCTTCGAAACCAAGTTTGCCTTGTTGGGAAGCCATGGGAAACAAATATTTTTCGCCTCCTGCGCAGATGAATTAAACATCTCTTATGAAATAAATGAACACTTAGTGGCAGACATTTCGATTGGAATCATTTCCTCATTAACTTTACATCGTTTGGATTTATTTAACATTCACTTTGGTGGAAGTGGTGCTAAATAATTGAAGTATTTTTTTGGACGAGTTGCCTAAATTTATACTAATTGAATTTGATCCTTCCTTTCTATTACATGAATCGTGGTTCAAAGCTCTTTATGATGTGTAATCAGAATCCATCTAAGTATAATAAAAACATCTAAGTGTAGCCACCTACATTTGTATTAATTGTATTTATATTAAACAATTTATGTATAACAATATAGTGACATCCGTACATGTGTACACATTTACAATTAAATAAAACTATAATTCTTATACATTGTAATATAATAAATTTTGTATAAAATGTAATGGTAAATATAAAGACCTTCGGACCCAACTTCGGTGTCCACATAGACATCATAAGCATGGCGGGTGCAGAATCGCCGAGGGCTACAACAGATGCCCGTTCGGTAGGATAGGTTACGTCTGTCCATGTGTCCATTAAAGGTCAAGTGCGTGTTGCTCCGTTATTTGTAACAGTATGAAGAGTATCAGTGAGCGAAAAATATAGAATCCCTTCGACATCTCACGAAGTAGCTAGCTCAGCAAAGGCACGTACACCGGACTCATACGTCTCCACTACTTCTAAAGTGACGCTTTCGAGTTGCCCTAAAATTTAATTCGGTTAATAATTTTCTATCGACAAACAGGAATGATATAGACATTTATAGAGTTGCAGAGTGAAATTTACTTTGATGGATATTCTTTATCAATGGTGTTTTTGGCTTTTCTGAAAGTAAAATACATTTTAAAAAATATATACAGGCGTCCCTCGTGTAACATCGTTTCGATATTACAAGGTACAAGAAATGAAATTAATTGTAACACGGTTTTAATATAACACGATTTCAAAATTTGAATTTTTCTTTGAATTGAGTTCAATCAGGGAAATCTCCATTCATTTTGAGAAATGACAGTATGCGTTTTGTTCTTTGTAAATGAAACTGATAAAGTTTTTGCTTGCTTTGTTTTTAACATTTTGGAAGGTAAAGTTTATGAGTGCATAATTTCCATTTGCGGTATGTAAAAAATTAAGTTTATGGCAAATTTAATTTTGGTCCTTAAATTTAAATAATGCCTGACAAGATAAAGAAGCAAAAATTTAAACGATAATTTATTTCACTCGAAGAAAAAATTGGAATTTTAAATCGTATAAATTGCGGAGAAAAGCACACATCGATTGCAAAATCGTTAAATTTAAAGCGAAATTAGAAAAAATATTGCCTTTGGTTGTTCACAAGGTGCGAAACGTGTATACCGCAAACGGGATATAAATATTGTAAAAATTGAAGATGCTCTTATAATATGGATAGAAAATTGTTTAGATAAAAAAATCCCTTTGAGCACAAATATTTTGCACCAAAAACCGTTCAGAATTTACACACATTTAAACAAAGATTAGCTTCCTTCTAGAGAACAACCGCACCTATTATGATCAAAATGCCATCTGCAAACGGCACACTTGCATGAGTATTATTTTTGGCAAGTAAAGGGTGTTTTGAAAATTTTAAGAAAAGGTTTTCTTGGCACAATGTAAAATTTCAAAGAGAGCAAGCTTCAGCAGATGTAGAGGCTGCCAAAAAATTTATATTGGAATTACTACAAACTATCGAGGAGCGAGAATATTCAGCAGATCAAATTTTCAACGTCAGAGAACGCCGTATCAAACTAATTTTTGATGGGAGTGATGATGAAAATTAATTTCGTGGTTTTAATAACCGGTTTCTATTTGTTTTATAATAATTATTATTCTTTGAATATATTTTTAATTGCATTTTTAAGTTTTAATACAAACTCGAAGCCAGCTTACTTCATTGTTTATGTAATATGTAGCACAAAATTTCAGCTATCATAACACTTTGCACCTTAAGACATGGTTTCGATATAACAGGTTACACACTGAGTTTATTCTTTACTTTCTACCACATTTTTAGAGATGCACCCTTGCGAATCATAGCTCCAGACGTGTTCACCTTTTTCAGCCACTTCTTCATTTTCATCATCTAGATTGAGACCTCCGCAATTTCCATTTTGTTGTTTGTTCCCATTTTCAGCGTTTTCTATTTTATTTATATGCATTCCCAAAGCATCGAAATCAAGATCGGAACATCCACTAATAGTGGACGACGATGGCGATGGAGGCAGAATGTCTGCAAAACCGTTATTCATTTTTAATATTTTATTAATAATAATTTATATACAATTTGTATTTAATTTTTAATTCAATGACCGCGTGGTTAACAAATTATACAGAGTTGCAGATTTAAGTTAGTCAGATACAGGGACGTATTTTAGCATAATTTTTACACATGATTTATTTTTATGTATGTTGTCCTGGTTTTCCTGAAATTTTATAATACTCTATATTTTCTTTTTTAAGGTCTTAAGTTTATTAAGTTTTCTATTATCTACACTTCCATTTTGCGGAAATTTACTTTGACTATCTAGACTAGTATACGTGATATACTCCAAGTTTGTCCTTAACCTTTAATGTTGATGGGATATTATCGTCCGTCATTGTGTCCGTTCCGCACACATCCATTCGTTCCATTTGTTTCCCGTCTTGGATCGATGGGATATGTTTTTCAGGTGTACCTAGATAAAGTGTTGGGAACGCATTTGTAGGCAATACAGGATTGAATCCGGTATTTTTTATATATTCTTGTAAAAAATGCTCATCACAAATACAATCTTTTTTTTTTTATATTTTGTAATATTTAATAAAATTACCCAAATTTCCATTTGCTTTCAGGGATTTTCAAAACCGAACTTTTCTTTTCATTATATTTGCTGCACACTAATGCGACTATTGTGCAATCTAATCGTAAGTTAATATGATAATAATAATAGAAATGATAATAATAGTATAATAATAAATAGACAAAATAAAACAAATCAAGGCTAAGAAAGGTGAGAAAGAAATTTGATAATTTTTTATACTAATTTAAATTTTTTTTTAACTGCAACAAAAGAAATGGAAAAATTTCAAATCAAAAAAGCATAAAATGTTTTAGTTTTTACTCTTTTCCGAAATTTAAAATGAATAATAAAAATTATTTTTCGTTTTGATATGCTTTGAGTTGCGCTTATTGTACTTATTGAAAAATAATAGAGAAGAGGATTTTATTTGTTTAACCATGTTTAATAATCAGCTAAGGCTGGAAGGAGATATGGTTGATTATAGTTACAGACATAATTTTTATATTAAAAAAAATATTATAATTTCCAAATTGGGAAATGAATGAAATAAAATGAATACGAATCAATTTGGAAAGTGTAGAAAATCGGAGGTTAACAACAGTATTTGTAATTAAAACTTTTCAGATTTGAGATAAAAAAATGCAAATATGGTACATATGGCAGGCATGACAGGTGGCAAGTATGTTTAAGATCAGATGTTCCTGGTAGTCTTTTTCCTTATAACTTCGGTGTGTAGGGTGTGTTTTTACGTTTGCGTTTATTGGAGTCGAATTTTTTCTTGTTCATTCATTCGCTTTATTTTAAACTATTAAAAAATATTTCCATAAAAAAAAGTTATGTTTCTTAGCAAAATGCAAACAGCATCGCCAGAAAAGATTTCGAAAGTTACATGCATGTGAAAATGGGAACAGCGGGCGAGCGTCAGCAAATTTCTTTGCCAGCCAATAAGACACCACACGACCCCCACCAC